GGGCCTCATTTGCCCTCACCACTCATCTTAGTCCGAGTGAGGGAGCCCGCACTCATGTCGCTCTTCCCCAGGTCTCTGTGTCCAGCACAGCAAGGGGCTCATGGGTTCCTGAATGGGGTGTGTGAGGCGACATGAGAAAGTGTGATCGCTAGGACTCCTAGTGTGTGCAGATTTCTTGGCGTGACGTTGGAGGTTGGAGCATTTAAGCCTGTAATAATAGCAAGGTGAGTTTTACCTTTATCCCAATGACTGGGAGCCAGAGGATGCTGTGCGTGTAAGAAGTACGTGGACTTTTGTGAGAGTTTTCAGTTTTGCTAAGCTGCTCAGGTTAAGAAGAGACAGGAAGGAGGGGTAGTAATTCTGTGGTACCAGCAGGTTGAGTCCCTTGTTCAAGGCTCCACAGGTAAAACCGGCACTGAGAAGTTAGGCTCAGATGTAGTGAAGGCATCCCCAGGGCGTCTTGCTCCAGGTTGTTTGGGGTTACAGAGGCTCTGGATCCCTGCAGTCTTTCATAACTTCCCTCTTTCCACAGGTTTCTATGGCTGTGGAAGTGCTTATGGACCTGAAGCAGGTGAGTAGAGTGCTTTCAGTCTGTGGCTGCTGGTGACTTGTTTTGGGGCCAAAGAGACCTTAACAAACCTAAGCATAGGATCTTGATTTTATGTTGGGGATTATTTAGAGTAGTTCCTGTTGTAGAATGAGGTCCAAAAGGTGATCCTAGGCATAGGAACCAGAACGTGTAAATGCTTGGATGTGAGGCTTACATGGTTCCTGGAACCCCAGGTCTTAGCTTTTGTGGGAACTGAAAGAATCAGGATAGGATTGTGACCTAGAATGACACTCAGAAACTTTGTTCTAGGGGCGATGAGAATAATGGGAAGTGTAGAAAAATGAGGGAAGAGGAGAGAGGTGATCTCATGTTGGTCCCATCAGCCTCCATGTGCATGGAGAATTCTGTTACTATGAGGGAAGTAACAGGAAGTCCATAGAGGAAGCTGCTTTCATAGTCCAGGTGAGGGTTTAGTAGAGGCTAGACCAGACTGAAGGTGGAAGACGTTGTAGGATTCTCTATTTGTTTTTAAATTGGGGCTGCTTGGATTTTCAGATTTTGAAAGGGGAAGGTAATAGTCAAACATGGGTCTAGGCCTTTGAAGTTTAACATCTGGAATGATGGAAACTCCATCAGATGGAATATAAAATTGGTAATCAGGTTAATTTTCATTGAGAATATTTTAAAAATTTGCTTTTAGCTCCTTTAAGGTATTTCAAAGACCAAATAATGGAGACATCATATGGCTGGCTGGCCACATAGGTCTGGAATTTGAGGAGTAGTTTAAGATGGGTGCATTCAAAAAATATAGTGGTCCGTGTTTAGCCAAGGGTATAACTATGTATCACAATTAGGAGGAGTTATATTTCTCATGATAGTAATACAGTTAACAACCCGGGAACGGTAGGGCTATAAATGAGTCTTGGACACCTGGGTGGTAGTGGCTGGAATTAGAACACAGGCGTGGTAGAGAAGTGGCCATGAGAAGGACAGGAGAAAGAGGATGGTGTGGGAGGTTGTCAAAGTTTCCAAGGCATAAGGCTGATCAGATAGTCAGGAATCCTGAGTCAAAAATCTCACAAGGCCAGGACTGAATCGTTTTGTCTCCTCAAAATTCAGTTGTTGAACTCCTAACCCAACATGGTAATAGTTGGAGGTAGGCCTTTGAGGGGTAATTAGATCACGAGGATAGAGCCCACATATATGGGATTAGTGTGTGTTGTTTTAACAAGAAGCCAGACAATTAATGTTCTTTCTACCATATGAAGGTACCAAAGGAAGGCAGTGCTCTGCACTCTTGGAACAGGTCCTTCACCAGAATTGCACCGTGGTGGCTCCTTGACCTCAGAAACTTAACTTCTGTGAGAAATAAGTTTCTGTTGTTGATAATCCACCCGACATGGTGTTTTGAAAGTAGCCCAACCCAAGAATAGTGCTTACTATCTATGCTGTAGGCTCATCATATTTTCTTTTTTGTGACCTTGTGTACGTCTATGGAGTCTCATTCAGATGGTTCCATTTACAAAGTGTGTGTCTGTGAAATACTAAGTTGTGTGTGGCGAGCCACTGGAGTTTTGAACCACTGAGTCTGACTGATTAAGAGCAAAAGGGAAGCTGTGACCATCATTGGCCAAGCAGAAGACACTGGTTGTGTGAGATCTGCAGGAGGTCCTGGGTAGCTGAGATGGAAACAAACGACAGAATCCGCACGAAAGGCAAGCTGAGTTAGCCAAGATTGAAGCAAAGGACAGAGTCAGCATCAAAGGTCTATGGAGTAGCATCCTGAACTGCTATGACAGTAAGGATCACTGGAGGCCTGGGGTACTACTCAATCCTGTTGGAACTCTGTTCTCTGGATGCCATGTATAAAGCAGCATATGGGGAAGCTGGAGAAGTAACTGAAGTGTGGAAAAGGTGTTTGGAGGGAAACTGAGAGCATAGTCCAAAGAATAATGTGCACATAGAGATGGAATGTGAACTTTAATATCTAGGCCCCTAAGCTGGGCGTGGTGGCGCATGCCTTTAATCCCAGCACTTGGGAGGCAGAGGCAGGCGGATCTCTGTGAGTTCAAGACCCAGCTGGTCTACATAGCGAGTTCAGGCCAGCTGAGGCTACGGGGAGTCCCTGTCTCAAAAAGACAAAATAGAAAATAAAATAAGGATGTAAGATAAGGGTAAAAGGATGAACTCATATCTGGTTGTGTCAAGGATACACCGTCTGGAGGACCCCTGAGAAATTGTCTGACAAGAAGTGGCACAGCCCTACATGCCAGGTCCAGAGATTGGATGATATCTTCCTGTATCTGTTACTAGCTATGACACTAGTACTGGGACCATGAGAACATAGTGGGCATCAGTGGCATTGGGGCTTGGTATTGCTTTGAGGTAGGAATGTCGGGGGAGGATGGGGCGCAGAGGATGGATAAGTAGGTAGATATTCTTGACATCCTAGGGGAGAAGCTGACTATGGAGTGACCTGTCCCCATTATGGCAGGGCTGTGTGACGTTTGAGGATGTGGCCATTTGCTTCTCACATGAAGAATGGAGACTTCTTGACGAGACTCAGAGGCTCCTGTACTTCAGTGTTACGCTGCAGAACTTTGCACTTATAAACTCCCTGGGTAAGGCTCTCACATGCCCCCAGTATCCTGGAATCTCTTTCCTCTTTTCCCCCAGAGACAGACTGACCCTTTCCACAGCTAGACCTTGGGGTCTGTTAACTTCTGAATATTCTGGGCATATGTGCTATGGGAGGTAGCATTGAACTGTGGTTACTATTCCAAATAGTTCATTCCTCAAGCAACCTTTATACCTGCTGACCCTTATGGTCTGGGAGTTGGGTATCTTGCAGTCATCTTGCTCAGCTGTGTCTGCAATCATGACACCTTGAATCACAAGTGCTCACCCTGACTAGCTAAACTTTTTCATGGTTCTGTTTTGGAACCATGGGCTGTTCTTATTGGACTCTCTGTTTTGGACATTATTAAGATATTTGGACATAAAGAAATAATGCTTAACTTTCCTGGGATCTGTTATATAGTGAGATACTCTACTGGTGCCAGCCAATTATTCTGTCTTTTCTGTGGACCTTGTTTCACCAGGTGACATGTAGTGATAGTCTTTAGGGGGTGGGAGAAATCTTATTTTTTTCAGAAAGTCAGTATGGTTCTATAGGAGGCCTGGATATGGTCAGTCGCATTGAAAGGAAAGCAAGCAGAGCATCCAGGCTATTTTCAGATCATAAAATGATCCTGTCTGTGTTCACAACTGTTTAGGTGTAAGTGCTGTTAGCCAAACCTCATTTTCATATTCTTTTCCCCATTCATGATAGTTTTCTGACTTCTCATTTCATGTGTAACTTCTGGCCCCTGGCTACCCCCCTATTATTTCTGATCTCTGTGCATCACCTATTGCTGCATACTGGGACATGTGTAATGTTTTCCAGTACTGCCTCACACATACAACTGAGTACTTGCTACTCATTTTTAATTGGATTTTCCTGGGCATAGACACAACCAACCTTCTGCAAAGCATGCACTCCTTACTAGCAGACAACATCCTGGGAAGCTCTATGTGATGAATTCAAGGGATTTGAAAGCTACCCCATGAAGAATGTATGATCACAGTGTCATAATAGCTTAGGGCTATGATCAGAGAAATGAGTTGGAGATCCTTTCCCTGTGGTCCATCTTGGCCTGGTGTTCTTTATCAGGTGAGGCCTCCTCAATTCTGTAACCCCTTAGAGACATGATATTGTAATATAGAACCTCCCTCAAAGTATCCCCAGGGAAGAGGGAGGATCATGCAATCATTCTGTAAAATGTGTATGATGTGATCTTCTCTGAGCAAAGTCAACATGGCATTTCATCAGTAATTCTCTTTTAGGTTGTGGGCATGGAACAGAAGAAGAACAGAGGATTTCTGTACAAGCATCACAGGTTAGGACTTCTAAGGCAACTCAGTCTACACCAGAAACTCAACTCTGTGAAAAGTGTGTCCCAATTCTCCAGGACATTTTGCACCTGCCTGATCTACCTGGGCAGAAACACAGTGTAGAGGCATGTACAAAATTTCACCAGCACCAAAATCATAATAGTACAGAGAAACCGTTGAGGAAGGATGTTGACAGGGCCTCATATTTGAAACGATGCCTACTGCACATGTCAGTGAAGTCTTTCCCTAGGTGGGACATTGAGAAGGACCTCCCAGACTTATTGAGCCTTCTGAAATCCCTGGTCTCTCCCAACAGTAAGAAGCCCAACAAAATCACAGAGGGTAGTAAAGAAACTCATACTCACAAAAGTCACAAGTCCGGAGAATGTGGGAAGTCTTCTATTCACAAAGAAACACTTGTTCACCAACCAAAAGCCTCCTCTGGAAAAAAGCTTTATGAATGCAACAAATGTGGGAAAACCTTCCGTGGCAAGTACTCACTTGATCAGCATCAGAGAGTCCACACTGGAGAAAGGCCTTGGGAGTGCAGTGATTGTGGGAAATTCTTTAGCCAAACCTCCCACCTGAATGATCATCGTAGAATCCACACTGGAGAAAGGCCTTATGAGTGCAGTGAATGTGGAAAGTTATTTAGACAGAACTCAAGTCTTGTTGATCATCAGAAAATTCATACTGGAGCAAGACCTTATGAGTGTAGCCAGTGTCAAAAATCCTTTAGTCAAAAAGCTACACTTGTTAAACACCAGAGAGTTCACACTGGAGAAAGGCCATACAAGTGCGCTGAATGTGGGAATTCATTTAGTCAAAGTGCCATTCTTAACCAACACCGGAGAATTCACACTGGAGCAAAGCCTTATGAATGCAGCCAGTGTGGGAAATCCTTTAGCCAAAAAGCTACCCTTATCAAACACCAGAGAGTTCACACTGGAGAGAGGCCTTATAAGTGTGGTGAATGTGGGAAATCCTTTAGTCAAAGCTCCATCCTTATTCAACACCGGAGAATTCACACTGGAGCAAGGCCTTATGAGTGTAGGCAGTGTGGAAAGTCCTTTAGCCAAAAGTCTGGCCTCGTTCAGCATCAGGTAGTTCACACTGGAGAAAGGCCTTATGAATGTGACACATGTGGGAATTCCTTTAGCCAGTGCTCTAGCCTCATTCATCACCAAAAATGTCACAGCATGTAAGAAACCTCACGAAAGCAATAAATGTGGAGAAGCCTTTAGCCCAAGGTCTAACACCATTTAGCTCCTGAAAGTTCACATTTGAGAAGAGCCTTAGACCTATAGGGAATGCCCTGTTTTTCAGTAGTATGTCACTAGAAAGCCTTTGTGAGGGACCCAGCCACCTGAGGTTGATCCTGATACTTCCACATCTGGGGGTGTGAGATTATACATGATTTCAGGTGTGGGTGAGGCTCGGAGGAGCTCCTCTGCACATACGGAACTGGCCAGTGTCCTTGCCATTTATAGCAGTGCCAGTACTTCTGGTAGAAGCCGTCTTCCTCTATCACCGTACTCAGTGGGCACTCATCACCCCGTCAGGGTAAGGAAAGGTAAATGTCTGTACTGAATGCTCAGAGGAACTCTTGAACAGAGCATTTATGGAGAATTTATTCCTCCTTTTAGCTGATTAAAGCATATATATGACTCGGTTTTTACCAAGAGGATCTGATCTACAGTCTGCTGAACATGTCTGAAAACTGCTTACCTGTTTGACAAGATCATTTTAATCAGTGTCATGTGACAGTTGGGTGAATGTTCCCAGCCTTCCGGTCTCTAGCTGGTCTTGCCTTCTTCACATTTCTCTGCTTTGTACACTAATAAATGCCTTATTCCTCAAACTGCCTTTGATCTTAGGGTTTGGTTTACTATGTAGGAAGGCTACAAAATGAACTGTGACTTGTGGGTGATTTCCACACCTCTGCTGGGACAGCAAAATGAAAGAAAGTTCTCTGGTTCAAATTAGTACAGCTTCCCAAGACAACTTAGTGAACTGCAGGGATTTTGTTATCTTAATTTGTGACTTGGATACCTAACTTTCTGTGAGACTTTCTTCAGTCATCTTGAGGAGAGGTCAGCGGTTGTCAAAAGTTCCTGTACTCTAGTAATGGGATGAATTTGCTCATTTTTCTCAGAGGATGTCTTGTAATTCCCAGGATGTGGAGGAGAAGCTGCTCATAAGGCTCTACAAAGAACTGGTAGCACTTTGTTCTGGTGTCACTTGTAAGATGATCCGAGCCAGAAGTGAACCATCCTTAGTACACAAACAGTGGGTATGGTGGAGTCTGCGGCCATCCAGGTGGAATGTGCCTCTTGTGAAAAATGCATCCAGAAATTCTTTTTGGTATCTACCTGTGAGCATTCGCAGAACCTGGATGTCTATGTTTGTCCAGAAAAAAGAGTTTTGTGGGTTCTTGAGTTCTTCCTTGGTTGTTCACCTCAAATCCATTGCTATAGAGATAGGAAAACCTGCATAGAGATGGAGATCTTAAAGCCCTGGGGTGTAGCTGTTGTTATCCAGTCAGCGTACCTGTAATCTGGTATGATGGCGCTCACCACTTGCCATTATTTCCTGAACCGATAAAGGTCTGCCCTTAGCCATGCATGAGGACAGAGAGTTGAATCAAATGGGGCCACTAAGCCCCATTTTTGTGTGGTTTCCAGAAAGGAATTCCAATTTTTATATTTTGAATAGTTTTTTATAGTTTATTGATGTAGTGACAAAAGGTTATCTTTATGGTTTATCATTTGAAAACTTGTGATAAATTTATAAAACCATCTTACTGATAATGAACACATCTGTGATTTACCTCAGACCCTGTTAGAATCTTTTGTGTGTCCCCCAGATATACGAGTGTCCAGTAATTTATTCACTTGAATAGAACCTGTGAATGTAAATGTAATGTTTACTTTTTTTTCTAGGCACTTTTCATACTACGTTATTTTGAGACTCATTGCTACTATTTTTTGAAAAGCTCCTTTTTATTGCCAAATAGTATTTGGTTATAGAACTACACCACTATCCCTTGATCTCTTTTTATTCATTCAGCTCTTCGTGAGCACTTCAGTTGAATCCTCTTGTGAGCTGTTACACATAAAGCTACAATGAATGTAGGCATATGACTCTTAATATGCATATATGCTTTATTTTTCCCAAGTCAGTAATTCCATATATGTGACTGTTTTATTAAGAAATTGCCAAACTTACCTAGATTGATCTAGACAGTATATGAGCATTCTTAGTCCTCCACATACTTGTTAGTACTTGGCAAGGTTAATCTTTTTAATTTGAGCCATTTAAACAGGTGTATAAGAGCATACCACTGTACTATTAATTGCTTTTTTTTTTTGGTGTTTGAAGAGTCTGAGCATTTTTATGTGTTTTTGCCACCTATGTATATTTTTAAAGCATTAATTTTTTGCCTATTTTCAAGTGGAAATTGGTGATACTGTTCTTTTCATTAATAGAATAATCATTGATCTTAGAACTCTTAAACTATAAATGTTAACCTGATGTGGAAGCGTGTTTCGTTTTTGTTTTAATTTTCATTAATATTTTTCTATCTCCTCTGTTGAAATATCTCCGATAATTCTGGTTAAAGGCTTCTAGTGTGTACTATAAAAGATGGCCAGGCATGGTGGCACACACCTTTAATCCCAGCACTCGGGACGCAGAGGCAGGTGGATCTCTATGAGTTTGAGGCCAGCCTGGTCTACATAGTGAGTTCCAGGACAGCTGGGGTTAAACCCTTCAACGACAGTGCATGAACAGAATGCAGATTAGGACTTATATGATTAAATGCATAAAAACCACTTGTTAAAATGTCACACATGAACCCTTGATTAAAACCCTGAACAAATTGCATGTATAACAATTGTACCATTGTATAATAAAGACTTAATGGAGCTGTAGAGATGGCCCAGTGGTTAAGAGCGTTTGTGGCTCTTCCAGAGAACCCATGTTTGGTTCCCAGCCTCTATGTCCTGCAGCTCACAACCACCCATAATTCCAGCCCTAGGGGATTTGACACACTCTTCCACAGGCATCCATGCACATTTGACATACACTCTCACAGACACACACATACAAAAAAATAAAAATAAGTGTTATAAACACGGATCCTGAAGTGGGAGATGGTGAAAGTATGGCCCATCAAATCTGGAACAGGTCACTGATGTCCATTCTTGCTTTATATAGTACCAGAAGTTTTATCCCCAGAAATTAGATAAAGGAAAGAAAAGCCATATAAATAGATAAGGAGTATGTAAAATCATCCATTTGCAGATGATATGATTCTACATCTAAGACTCCTAAAGACTCCTCTAAAGTTATCAGAACTAGGGTTTGGTGACACATGCCTTTCATCCCAGTACTTTGGAAGCAGAGGTATGTGGAACTCTGTGAGTTTGAGGTCAGCCTGGTCTATATATTTCCAAGCCAGCTGGGGCTACATAGTGAGACCTTATTTAAAAAAAAAAAAAAGAAAGAAAGAAAGAAAAAAAAAATCAGAACTAGCTGGGCATGGTGTCACATGCCTATAATCCCAACATTTGAGAGATGGAGACAATTCAGGACCTTGAGATCAACCTCAACTACACAATGAATTCGAGACCAGCTTGGGTTGCATGAGACCAATATTAGAACTTTTAGAAATGCAGTAAAATCGCAGGATACAAAATCAAGCTACAACAATCACCAGTTTTATAATCAGTGAATTTTTACAGAAAGGAATGAAAGCAATCCATTTGCAAAAACTATAAAAATTACCTGGTAATAGATTTAATGAGAGAAAGCTCTCCATAAGGAAAAATTTCAAACTTAGAAATCAAAATACACTGTATTTGTTTTGTGTTGCTGGGGAAAACTACCTCATAGAAGTTTGAGGAAGGGCTTAACATGACAAGGGATTATTATCTACACCTAGAATGCACCAGGACTCAAAACAATAATAAGACCAAATTAAAATTAAACACCCTCCTAAGCAATCAGTAAATGGGTAAATTAGAGGACTAGACCATTTTCAGAAGAGGATATGGAGATGGATGGGATCAAATTACACTGTATACATATGTGGAATTTTCAAAGAATAAAAGCATGAACTGCAAATGGTCAATATATGAAAATGTTCAACATCCTTAACCATGGGGGAAATACAAATCAAAACACTTGAGATTCATCTCACCCCAGTCAGTCAAAATGGCTATCATTTAGAAAACGAATTCTGGTGTGGATGCAGGGGACAGGAAGAAGGAACCTTTATACGCTGCCAGCAGAAATGTAAATTAGTCCAGTTCCTATGAAAATAAGGATCCTCTATCATCTAAAAAGCAATAAAACTATATGAGTCAGCTGTGCCACCCCTGGAATCGGTGTCAGTAGACCACAGAGATACCGGCACATCCGTGTTCATGCGTTGTTATTCACAGTAGCCAAGTTTTGGACTCAGTCTCATTGTCCATCAACAGATGAAACTATAAAGAAAAGACAGTGTGGATACAGTACACAATGGAGTTTCGTTCAACCACAAAGCTAAGTAAAGGTAAGTAATTTGCAGGAAAATAGATGGAATTGGAGGTCAATCTATTAATCAAAATAAGCCAGATTCAGAAAGACAAATATCTTTTTTCTCTCATATGTGGGACCTAGATAACTATGTTAATAACATTCCAAACATATATCCACATGTTTAGGAATGACATGAACGTAGAAGGAAGATTACTGGGGAAAGGAAAAGTACTGGGGGTGGGGAGCAGTTGGGAAGGTGATGGAGGGCGAGTGAGGTAATACGATGCATTATATACTTCAATAAAATGTCAGTAAGAAAGTCATCATTTTGTAGAATGAATATCTTCTAACTTAAAAAGAACTCTAGAAGCAAAAACTGAATTAAAACATTAGCAAATGATCTAAATACACATTTCTCAAATACAACTGGCCAAGAAATATGTGAAAAATACCCAATATCAAATGTCAATAGACAGGAAATGATAAAAACACAATAAAATGTCTCACTCTGTGTCGATGGCTGTTTCCAAAAATAAACAAAGCCTGGATGGTGGCACATGCCTTCAATCCCAGCATTTGGTAGGCAGAGAAAGGCAGATCTCTGAGACAGGCCACCTGCTCTCATACTGAGTTCCAGGCCAGCTGGGGCTAAAGGGAGACCTTATCTCAGAAAAACAAACAAAAAAACCACACAGACACATGCACACACAAACCAGAAAAGAAAATTCAGGTGTTGTGGCACATGTCTGTAAATTCAAATTCTAGCACCCAGGAGGCAGAGGCAGAAGAACTGACAGTTTGAGAGAGGCCAAACTTGGACTATATAGTAAGAGCTTAAAAAAAAAAAAGACATAATGTTTCTGTTATGGATGGTGAGGAAAAAAGGATTCTCATATACTTTTGTCAGATTGTAAAGTAGTATAGTCCAGGGAGAACAGTATGAAGCTCTCTTAAACTAAAAGTTATGAGCCAGGTGTGGTGGAACACAGCTTTAATCCCAGAACTTGTGAGGCAGAGGCAGTTGGATCTCTGAGACTGAGGTCAGCCTGGTCTACATAGCAAGTTCAAGGCAAGCAATTGATGAACCAGTGAACAAAATGTACATACACACACAGGCATGCACACGTGTTACAAATCTTGAAATCTGTACAACACTGGTAGAAGTAGAGGCCATTAAATGAAATAAACTAGGCTGAAAAACACAAGTTCTCATGACAACGTTAAATGTATTGAGCCTTTGCTTCCTGGGCTGCACAGCCTCCAGTGTCCTGGTACCAGCACTTTCCCTGGGCAAGTCCAGTGTGCCCACTGTGCCTTGACTCCCCCAACCTCATTCACCCTCCCAGCTCCCCTGCCGCATCTCTCCTCTTAGCCTGGCTACAGGCCCATTTCTTGTCTTGGCACCCCAGGCACCGGGGCTAACCTTGGCCCAGAGCCACCACTGCTTCCTGATCCTCCACATCCAGACTAACCCAGTTCCTCCTGGCAGCCCCCAGGAACCCTCTGGGCCTGGTCCTGCCCTCACCTCCCTTTACTTCTCTGGGTGGCACAGACTCTGAATGTCCTGAGACCAGCATCTTTCCTGGGCCCTACTCCCAGGCAAACCCAGCCCCCAGAATCCTGAGGGCAGCATCTTTCCTAGAAGGGCCGAGACCTTAGGAGAAAGCCTAAGAGAATCTGCTCACTTGGGCCTCTGTGGGAACTCCCAACACAAAAGCAATTAGGCCACTCCAATATAAAATCAAAAGAGAGAACCTGAAGCCTAGACCAACCAGCTTTTCATGCCCAACAAGCAAACCACAAAGGCACATAAAGTTTACAAAAGAAACAGATCTAAACTCAACAAAGGAAGGCTGGAGTCTCACACAAGAATCAGAAACTATGAAAGAAATTCACATGTCAAAGTTACAGAGAAAAAATAACATGAAAAATGAAAATAATATGTCCCCACCAAGTACCTATAGTCCTCTAGAAGAGTACAGTGAGAACTCCCTAGAGATAACACAGGACATGGAACTCAAAAGAACAATTATAAACATGATAAAAGAATTCAGTGAATGCAAAGAACATGCAAAGAAAGAAATCAAAGAACTGAAGGAAGATAGGGATAAAATTCTGAATGAATTCAGAAGAGTTAGAAATATTGAAGAATACTCAGGCTGAAATGAAGAAGGAAGTGAAACACTCAGTAAGCCAATTAGAAA